GAGTTTCCTCATTAGTGGAAATGCTAATTACTAATTCCATATTTTTCTTAATATATTTTAAAATGGCACTGTCGTATACATTTAATTAATCTATTTGATAATATGTAATCAACTTGTGCCCTCTTGATCCGTCATAACAAGACAGTTTAAATATTAAAGGGGACCTATCATGCTAAATGCACTTTTTGATGTCTTGTATACATCAACGTGTCCCCGGTGTGTCGGGGAACTCACGCAGCGTCAGAAAATAAAACCCTCTCTCTTTTCCTCCGTACCCAAATCTCTAAAAACGGGGGTACAACGGAGCTGATCCAGATTTGCGTCCGATATGACGTAATATCTGAAATGTGGACCCACGGCCCAATCAGAAACGTTGCTATCAGAAACAATGCCCGACTGTTTTGGACGTAATATGGTCGGTGTTTACATTAGCATCGCTAACACTCAGAGCTAACCTGTACTGGAGAGCATGTGTGTGAAGAAGCAGGAAGTAAAAAGGAACTCACCTTGTGGTATAGCTGCCGGGTCCCGCATGAGCTCAGACCCTCCTCTTTAAAGCTTTATACCCAAATCAGCACTTTAGAAACAGGAAGTGAAACAGAGGGATATGAGGCATGGCTAGAATGGGTGATCTCTTTGGTATTTTGAGCAAAACACTTAATAGCCATGTTTTTTGATATATTTTGATATATGAGACCTATGCTATTGCCTAAAAATAGCCTGATAGGAGACCTTTAACATAGTATTGATGCAACGCCTTCTGTGTCTGCTGGTGAACGAGTGGACGCTCTTATTGTGAAGCAGCTCCAGGAAGTGATATCTTGGATAGCTGTCACCGAGCTGGGGGTCAGCACTTCAGTTCTGCACATTGTGACGGAGGAATAGAAGTAGTTACAGTTAGCTGGGAAAACCCTGGAATCACCACCTGCGCCAGTCCATGTGTTGTGTCCGCCCTTGTCGACAGCCACAAAGCTCCTGCATACACATTCTGTTGTTGCTTTATGTCTGGTATCCAAGTTATTAAAAGATCTTAAAACATCTATGCGACCAGTCACTCGGTACAAATGTAAAATGCTATTTGATGGGAAGCAGTGACATCATATTCTTTCTTTACCAAATATTGCGTTTAATGCGATTTGGAGATTGCACTCGTCCCGATTGAGAGTTTAATAACATTGCGATTCGTCGTATTTAATATGCAGCGTGTGTTTGGTGAGGGATGTTGCCGTCCTAATTGTGCCGGGCAGCGGTGTAAACGGAGCTCCACTGTGGACATGACACCGTTTGAGCAGTTTGACCCGTCTGACCCCGGGTTTAGTGTTTGGAGAGGCGAGCTCTGCCCAGTCTGCATCTGAACGACTCGCCGAGAGCATCTGTCGCCCGACTTTGTGATCCTCCCTCACATCTGCACCATCGTAAGTCACTGCGGTGTAAATGTGCACTTAGTGCGCCGCCTGCCCTAAACGTGGGGGGTGATGGCAGTAAAAAAAAACGGAGTGCAGTGAGCTCTCTGAAAGCGGGAGATCGCTGGGAAACTGCTCGTCCAACGCACTGGCAGGCACAAAGTAAGTAAGTGAGGGATGGATTGTAAATGGAGCACACACAGTTACCCAGCCCAGGGAGTGGAGGGATTGTTGCCTTTGTCTCGAGGCAGCACTCGACGAGAGTAAATCAGCGCTTTGTTTTTGAGTGCCGCTCCCCAACATGTCTCCCAGTCTTCATTAATTTAATTAGGCATGGAAAAGGGGCAGGCAATAACATGCCGTGAGATAAAAACCACAGTATACACCCGAATGCGTTGGTAAACTAAGACGGTAACACCCTACATGTGGGGGGGAATCGTTTAGACCACAGGTGTCCCCCTAAAGCTAATTATATTTAATGCAGAGACGGTTTGGGGTGATTTATATAATATATTCCAATTACTTGTATATAGACTCTAATTTCACTATTTTATTTGTATTTACTTGCACTTTTATCTGTTTATTGTGTTGCACTGTTGGAGGAGCCCGTGACCTAAGATTTCCATCGACGTAACGACACCGTAGCTCTGTACGAATGACAATAAAAGCCTTGAATCTGGCTTATTCTCTGTTTCACTCCCCATGCCTAATCACGCTGAAGCTCGGCTCCGTATGTTTGCCTGATATCAGTTTCTGGATCTCAAGGCCAGCTGCAGCTCTGAAACCCAGACGCTACGGCTACAAATATAAAAACTTCTCGATCAATGAGGTCAGTGTCTGGTACCTGAAGTCAGTCGGGTGGGGGGGGGAAAGGTGAAACTCCATCCACTCCCATGACATCAGAGCAGCGATTGAACACAGCCTCCCTCCTCCAGCGCTGAAGAATGAACCCCAGCGTAGATTTGCTGATGGCTACCCGGGTCATAAGACCAGTTGTTGTGAATGTCCTCGTTGTTGAGCACAAACAAGTTTTGATTGTGCATCGCAGCACCCTCGAATCATCATTTTAAAACGCCCTGGGGATCTTTTAAAGTCCTTGTGATAAGCAGCACTGCAAAACAATGCAGCCTCACTTGTGATGCGGTGCACATAATCACAGCATTTGCATAGTCTGCACACGTAGGAATATATTTTAGGCCTGTGCTAAATTGAAAGCAATATCTGACATCACAAGTGCTCACTGACACACAGCGCACCTCCTCTATACTTCCCTATTCCAGTCATCTGTCCATCTCCCAGGCGCACAGCATCATGTTCGATGTTTGACACAAAATACTCAATCGTTAGACTAGACTGCTTCTGAGCGGAAATCATCCCCTCTGTAAATGTGGATACTGAGAGATTGGCTCTATGCTCTCTGGCAGCAGTGAGTGTTGAACACTGAGAAGAATAGTCAGTCATATCTGTTATTTAAAGAGTACAATTGATGGAGGGGGAAATGATGTCTGCAGAGAATACACGGTGGAAGTGGAAGCTGGCGTTTCTGCAGGAGTGTGACCTAGTTATTTGGATACGACGCTTATACCAATACTACATGAACAAAGTCTAATACAGATTCAAGTTTGAGACATTTTTGAGAATCCATTTCTTATTTCTCTTGTCTCGGTTCTTCTCCTAGGTCGACAGAGAAGTACCTGAGCCCTTGAAGTTCTCAGCTTTGATGCAGTACAGGTACAGCTCGCTTCTTTGCAAATCATTCTGCGTGGAGAAACGGCACAGACTGAGAGTAATGTGTGTGAAGGCTGGGTAGATGGAGAGGAAGCCAGTCGGTTCTAAATACGTTTTAAATAATTTGTTCTCTTCATTTTGTGTAATTTAAATGCACGTTGACGCAATCCTCACCTCTGCATATCAATTTCCTGGGGAAACCCTGTATTGGTTTACTCTAAACGAAACTGTGCCAACTTCATTCTCACTTCACTATCACGACTGCTCCTCCAGACACAAAATACAAATGTAAAATGTAGTAATGTAGATTCTAGCCATTCTGACATTCATATCTTTGGTCTCCAGTGTACTGGGTGCAAGATGACGGAAGAGGTGATTGTCATCGCCAAGTTCGACTACATGGCCCAGCAGGACCAGGAGCTGGACATCAAGAAGAGCGAGCGCCTCTGGCTCCTCGACGACTCCAAGTCCTGGTGGAGGGTCCGAAACGCCACCAACAAAACGGGCTTCGTGCCGTCCAACTATGTGGAGAGAAAAAACAGCGCCAGGAAGGCGTCCATCGTCAAGAACCTCAAGGACACACTCGGTAAAGTCATGCTTTCTTACTTCAATCTGAAAGTGATGTATTCTTTTATTGCAGGAGCTGATTCTTCTTTTTTGCACTTCTAGAATCGGTTCCATCTTTTTTCAGAGACCACGTTGTTAACCAACATACTGTAGCCTCAGCGAACACCCTTTATCTAGAACTACTTTGGTTTTTGTTGTTGGCCACATTGTGGTGTGTAATGTACAGCCTCCACAGGAAGAGGGTCGCAGGCTGATTGGTTGAATAGGAGAAGAGCTACCTTTTTATAACAAAGCACTTAGACTGAAGCTTTAGTGCCGGATCGAGGTGTCTGTGGTGTCGCTACTGAAGTTGATATTTGAAGCGTTGCTGCAGGTAAGGCAGTTTTTCTATTCATATATATTTCTGTGGATGCTAACAGTTCATCATGGCCAGGATTGTAACGGCACAGGTGTTTTCTGCTCTGTCAACACGGCAGTAATAGTTCTGGCCTGTGCAAGTTGCTCAGCGCCTTGTACTGCCAGGAGTGAATGCGACGGTGTATGTAAGCCAAGGTTACAATTCGTCCTCGCTTAATTCTGCTCGATGACAGGTATTCACGATCATGTGGGATACGCACTCTGTGTTCTTCAGGTCTCAGCCCAGATAGCCTCGGGTTTCATTTGTAGATCTGATGCTTCACACGCCCTACTCTCCGGGATGCTCTGCAGGGCGTCAGTGTCTCAGACAGTTAATACACGATGGGATAACACCAGCCAGAGCCACAGGCACACTTGCTTGATGTTTACAATATAAAAAAAATAATGCTACATGTTGTTTTGTGACATGAATCCCCTTTAACTGACCCTCAGTGTATCGTCTATCCTTCATGTTGCTTACTTGGTATTCTTGGTTACTTCGAACAAGCAGTGAGGTGTGTGTGTGTGTGTGTGTGTGTGTGTGTGTGTGTGTGTGTGTGTGTGTGTGTGTGTGTGTGTGTGTGTGTGTGTGTGTGTGTGTGTGTGTGTGTGTGTGTGTGTGTGTGTGTGTGTGTGTGTGTGTGTGTGTGTGTGTGTGTGTGTGTGTGTGTGTGTGTGTGTGTGTGTGTGTGTGTGTGTGTGTGTGTGTGTGTGTGTGTGTGTGTGTGTGTGTGTGTGTGTGTGTGTGTGTGTGTGTGTGTGTGTGTGTGTGTGTGTGTGTGTGTGTGTGTGTGTGTGTGTGTGTGTGTGTGTGTGTCCCAGCTGTTATTACGTCCATTGATCAGATAACCCCAGGTGAACAGCTGCATTGACACACACACACACACACACACACACACACACACACACACTCATAAAAACGTAATGCAAAACTGGGCCTCGTTAAACACTAATACAATCATCGAAAGCTTGTAAATACTTCCCCTTCAGTGGATGAAGTAGATTCAAGACGTTGTAACTAGGAGTGTGGGCGGTTGTGTTTGAGAACAATAAGAGAAGCCCAGCCTGGTGACTTTCATATGTTATGTGGGAAGAAAAATGTCTATCTTTTTTCCTTCTTTTATAAAAAAACTGTTGCGGGGTGTGGAGCGGCGGTGTCATCGGTTGGAAGAATGCGTCGGGGTTTGATCCGTCCGCGGTGTTTCTGCGAGCACTCATGTTTCCTGGGTTTGTTGTAAAGTTATGAGTGTGTCTCTGCAAACAACTGCAGTCATGTGACACGGAGCACTCTCTGACTCACTCAGCCATTACAGCGTCCCGGCACTTTTCTTTCTGAGTGGATTTAATCAGATCACAACAACAACAACAACAAAATGCTGCTTAATGTGGATGAAACGGCTCCTTCCCTATATCCCCTTTCTTTTATCTCTTTTTCTTTCTGAATCTGAGCTCCAACCCCCCTCCCTTCCCACGTCTTCCCCTTTCCATGAGGCCTCTGTACTCTGCCTTCCAGAGCTAGACCGGAGGCCTCTCTGTCCTGCTCTCTGATTGGCTGAGCCGCACCACATGGTCACAGAGTGGGCTGCCCTGCTCCGCTATCCGCCCAGCTTTCTGGGTGTTCACATGGAATAACTCTACAGCTGCAGTGGGAAGAGAGCAGGGGCCGGGAAAAAGCCAGGGAGAGACGGCGAGCCCAAAATGGACATGGCTAACCTATTCAAACATTTCTTTCGTGAGTTTTTTTAACTTTAAGCTGCTTGTTTGTTGTTTTGACTTGATGTGGAGAGCTTTGACGTGAAGTTTGAGAGCTTCTGTCTACTCTCTGTCTTGCTGTGCAGGAGTGGTTGTCAGGTTTCTTCTCCTTTCATGTTCCCTTTCTGGTTTTTCACTTTGATTTCTAGTCACTTTCAGCGTCAGGTCAGCGAGGGAATGTGTCATAATTAGAGCAGGACGAAAGATGTCTGTGCTAACATGCAGTGCTGGCAGAGAGGGGTTGTCTGAGCAGCGCTTTGAGGCCGTGTCTGTGCAGCAGCGACTGGGTGGATATGCTTTTTGAAAAGGCTTCGGCTGAGCCCAAGCCTGTAATTGCCTCAGCAATCCTTCTCTGTCTCTTTCTTTTAAACACACACACAGTAATCCTACTCCCTTTTCCCAAGCATTCGTCCTAGTGAGTGGGCTGCAACTCACTGGATTACATTATCATGCTTGAAGACCCCCCTATCCACAATGTTAAGTGGAATATCTCAAGACATGGCCAAAGTCTGTTGTCTTTTATGCTGCCCTGAGGGCGAGCTGGCTGTTTCTGGGAGGGTCGCTCCACTCCTCCAGCCCACCGCTAGTCATGAGCTACAGTGGAGGGGTGCTAACGTTGAACACTGTAGGCATTGTGCTGCGAGGGAGCCGGGGGTCTCTGCTGATTGATGGGAAACCGGGCTCCCGTCTCCCGCACCTCGCTCGGTTATCAGAGGAATGCCACTGCCCGGCGTGGATACTTTACAACCTAAGCTGACACGCTTTTTCAAAAGGCCGCGGCGCACAGCCATGCTGTAATCTCACCTTGTAACTGTTGAGTGGTATCTCCTGCCTCTCTATCTGCCCTACTTGCTGCTTGTAAAGAATCCAGAGGGTGTAAAGGGCTGAGAGGAACATGGAGATGAGCTAACAAACCTTCTGCTTGTGTAAACTGAGAGCCGTTAGCCTCCTGGTTCCCCTCCCTTTCGTTTTCCTGTTCCTCAGCCTCCCCAGCGAGCGGAAACTCTAATTTGAGCCACATTTCTCCCCGAGCATTGGAGAGAGAGGAAGTGAGAAGTCAGAAAGGAAGTTGAATCATTGAGCGGTGGTCTGTCCGTTTGACATTCTGGCAGTCCCTCGTTGCTTCGTTTCCAAATTGTTTTCTCGTAACCTCCCGTCACTGCTTCCACACCAGAAAAACAAAAAGACATCATAATTAAGAGAGTGGCCTCGACGTCACTCAGGCCGTAAGATGTTTTTCTCTTGTTAAGCCGTCCACTCATCTTTGCTTTCCCGTGACTTAAGACTTGCTCAACAGGAAGTGAGCAGTGGTTTGGACATGTTGAACACTAGTAGCAAGTGTTGTAAACTAATTGTCAGAGAACTGTGAAAACACCCCTCTTCTTTTGGTGTGTTTTATAAGCAAAATGGCAAATATTTGCTACATATTTTCAGTGTTTCTTGCTTTTCTTGCCAGTAAACTGATTTCAGAATATTTGAAGAAGTGTCAGCCACAGTTTTGTGACTTTTTATTGACAAAACGATCAAGAAAGATAGAAGAAAATGATTTATACATCAATTTAAAAAAGACGATTTCAGGAACTTCAGCCAGAAAATCAGTTAGTTTCTGATTTGATATCAAAGTTTAGGCATCTGTAAGATATGATGTCCTTTGTATAAGGGTCACTAGCATTGAGGTTAGGATACATATTAAGAAAAAGTTGGAAAATTAGAGTTTTTAAAAGACATTTTCACAGATAGAAAGGCAACCACGTTGTTTCTCTGTCAGGGAAGGGTTCTGATTGGCCCCTGACGGTAAACGCTGCACTGTCCAGAGCAGTAAAAACCAAATGGAGCTCCGTGCCTCCCTCCCTCCCATCACAGAGACTCATGGCTGTGTTTGAAGTCTCTCAGCTGAAGTTCAAAGAGCTCTGGATGTTTCCTGTGCAGCCACTTTGATTGAAGCTGTCATCTTAAAAGGTGTCCAAAGACTCCTTCCCCAAGTGAGGACAAATGCCCACACATTCCCTTTAGTTACTTTGACTCGCTCTTTCTGACTGCGCACACGCTGTCATTACATTTAATGTGCGAGTCTCATACTAAACCATATGGCTGAGGGCTGCGGTGTTGCGTCACACGTCTGGTGAACGCCAGTGACACATTGTTGTCAGAGTTTAAATTGCTGTACACACAGAGAGGACAGACATTAGTGTTTCTAGTGTTTGTATCCTATTACCTGCACACTTAGGGGTTTTACAGGTCACCTGGTATGCAGAATCCTCTTCTTCATGTCTCTTCTACATCAACATGTGTCCCCTCTTCTTCATGTCTCTTCTACATCAACATGTGTCCCCTCTTCTTCATGTCTCTTCTACATCAACATGTGTCCCCTCTTCTTCATGTCTCTTCTACATCAACATGTGTCCCCTCTTCTTCATGTCTCTTCTACGTCAACATGTGTCCCCTCTTCTTCATGTCTCTTCTACATCAACATGTGTCCCCTCTTCTTCATGTCTCTTCTACATCAACATGTGTCCCCTCTTCTTCATGTCTCTTATTCATCAACATGTGTCCCCTCTTCTTCATGTCTCTTCTACATCAACACGTGTCCCCTCTTCTTCATGTCTCTTCTACATCAACATGTGTCCCCTCTTCTTCATGTTTCTTCTACATCAACATGTGTCCCCTCTTCTTCATGTCTCTTCTACATCAACATGTGTCCCCTCTTCTTCATGTCTCTTCTTCATCAACATGTGTCCTCTCTTCTTCATGTCTCTTCTACATCAACATGGTGTCCCCTCTCTTCATGTCTCTTCTACATCAACATGTGTCCCCTCTTCTTCATGTCTCTTCTACATCAACATGTGTCCCCCTCTTCTCATGTCTCTTCTACATCAACATGTGTCCCTCTCTTCTTCATGTCTCTTCTACATCAACATGTGTCCCCTCTTCTTCATGTCTCTTCTACATCAACATGTGTCCCCTCTTCTTCCATGTCTCTTCTACATCAACATGTGTCCCCCTCTTCTTCATGTCTCTTCTACATCAACATGTGTCCCCTCTTCTCATGTCTCTTCTACATCAACATGTGTCCCCTCTTCTTCATTCTCTTCTACATCAACTTGTGTCCCCTCTTCTTCATGTCTCTTCTACATCAACATGTGTCCCCTCTTCTTCATGTCTCTTCTACATCAACAATGTGTCCCCTCTTCTTCATGTCTCTTCTACGTCAAACATGTGTCCCCTCTTCTTCATGTCTCTTCTACATCAACATGTGTCCCCTCTTCTTCATGTCTCTTCTACATCAACATGTGTCCCCTCTTCTTCATGTCTCTTCTTCATCAACATGTGTCCCTCTTCTTCACGTCTCTTCTTCATCAACATGTGTCCCCTCTTCTTCATGTCTCTTCTACATCAACATGTGTCCCTCTTCTTCATGTCTCTTCTACATCAAATGTGGTCCCCTCTTCTTTCATGTCTCTTCTACATCAACATGTGTCCCCTCTTCTTCATGTCTCTTCTTCATCAACATGTGTCCCCCTCTTCTTCCATGTCTCTTCTACATCAACATGTGTCCCTCTTCTTCATGTCTCTTCTACATCAACATGTGTCCCCTCTTCTTCATGTCTCTTCTACATCAACATGTGTCCCCTCTTCTTCAGTCTCTTCTACATAACATGTGTCCCCTCTTCTTCATGTCCTTCTTCATCAACATGTGTTCCCCTCTTCCTCATGTCTCTTCTACATCAACATGTGTCCCCCTCTTCTTCATGTCTCTTCTACATCAACATGTGTCCCCTCTTCTTCATGTCTCTTCTACATCAACATGTGTCCCCTCTTCTTCATGTCTCTTCTACATCAACATGTGTCCCCTCTTCTTCATGTCTCTTCTACATCAACATGTGTCCCCTCTTCTTCATGTCTCTTCTACATCAACATGTGTCCCCTCTTCTTCATGTCTCTTCTACATCAACATGTGTCCCCTCTTCTTCATGTCCTCTTCTACATCAACATGTGTCCCCTCTTCTTCATGTCTCTTCTACATCAACATGTGTCCCCTCTTCTTTCATGTCTCTCTACATCAACATGTGTCCCTCTTCTCCATTTCTACATCAACAATGTGTCCCCTCTTCTTCATGTATCTTCTACATCAACAGTGTCCCTCTTCTTCATGTCTCTTTACATCAAATGTGTCCCCTCTTTCTTCATGTCTCTTCTACATAAACATGTGTCCCCTCTTCTTCTTCTTCTTCTAAACAGTGTCCCCTCTTCTTCATGTCTCTCTACATCAACATGTGTCCCCTCTTCTTCATGTCTCTTATACATCAACATGTGTCCCCTCCTTCATGCTCTTCTACATCAACATGTGTCCCCTTCTTCTTCATGTCTCTTCTACATCAACATGTGTCCCCTCTTCTTCATGTCTTCTACATCAACATGTGTCCCCTCTTCTTCATCTCTCTTCATCAACATGTGTCCCGTTCTCTCCATGTCTCTTCTACATCAACATGTGTCCCCTCTTCTTCATGTCCTCTTCTTCATCAACCATGTGTCCCCCTCTTCTTCATGTCTCTTCTACATCAAACATGTGTCCCCTCTTCTTCATGTCTCTTCTACATCAACATGTGTCCCCTCTGTGGAAAGAGACTCTCAAAGTCTCAGGGGAACAAAGATTCTCTCTCTTTTTGATCCATTTCTATAAAAACCTGTCTGAAAATGAGCTGATCAGATTTTTGGCCACCTTATGATGTCATAACGATGTGTTGTCTTGTGTAACCATTAGCCAATCACCAACCAAGGTAACCAACCCCCACCCCACCCCCCCCCACCCCCCCCCCCCCCCCCCCCCCCCCTTATCACCTGAATCTCCTCCTAGAGCACCATTGAGTTCTTTGTAACCAAATGTCTCTCAGAGGGGCGTGGGGAGGGGCTCCTTATTTCATCTAAAGTAACAGACAGAGAATCAGCACATTTGGAAACAGGGCTGAAACAGAGGGGATT